AGTGGCTCCACATCAATCCTGTGAGTTAGTGGCTGAGCCAGAACTAGAACCCAGTAGGTGCCGTCAAAACCTTTCTTTGTGTAATTTGCAATGCTTCTTTCCCATCTGATGCAGGATATGGCTTTAGTGATGCTGGAAACAGAACTTGTAAATATCTTTTCCACTAAAGTGGTGGATTTCAAGGAACAATGATGGATCAGAATCGCCCAGGAAACCTCAAATTCCTCCTGCACTCCTCTCACCCTACTTTGAAACCTGCTCCCAAAGTACCTGCTTATAAGAGGAGCCAAAGAGAGCCACACTTGCCACCATTCTTGCTTCCAAGTGCCTGTAATAGGGACAATCACAGCATCCCTAAATGTTTATTAAATCCAGGAAGTGGGCAGTTTCTTGACTCTTTGGCTTCCTTGGCCCTAAGCCCCCCTCTTACCTTTTTTAAAAATAGAAATCATTATTGAGGTCATTGTAAATTCACATGGAAATACAAGAAACAGAGAGATCCTGTGTACCCTTTACTCAATTTCCCCCAATGGTAACATGTTACAAAACTAAAATAAAATTTCACGACCAGAATACTGACAGCAATACAATCCACCTCTCATTCAGAGTCCTTAGTTTTCCCTGTACTCACGTGTGTGTGTGCATGCGCACATATTAGTTCTATGCACTTTATCACAAGTAGGTCTATGTAGCCACCACAACGGCCAAGGTGCCATCACCATGAGGATCCCTCCAGTTGCCCTTTTAAAAACATACCTATCTACCTCTGCTCCCAGCCCCATTCCTAACCCCTAGCAACTATTAATCAGTTCTCCATTTCTATAATTTTGTCATTTCACTGTTATATAAATGGAACTATACAGTATGTAATATTTTGGAACTGGATTTTTTTCACTCAGCATAATTCCCGAGATTCATCCAAGTTCTTGCGTGTATCAACAGCCTGTTCCTTTTGATTGCTGAGTAGTAGTGCATGGTGTGGATGTATCAGTTTAATCATTCACTGGCTGAAGGACATCTGCATAGTTTCCAGTTTGGGGCTATTACAAATAAATCTATGAACACTGATGTACTCCTTTCTCCTCTTGATCACTGAGTGACACAGATGCGCTTACTTCACTGAGATCTTTGTTCCTGCTTTTGCAAGCATGAGTTGTCACCACACCGTCCTTTCTATGCCAACTCCTAGTGGCTTTGAATAGTCTGCCCAGATGCTCCCCTACAGATATTTATCACCAGATAGGCACCTCCAAGCTTTTCCCCTAAAAGAAATAAAATATAACATGAGTTTGGGAGCCAGACAACCTGGGCTCACATTGCAGGGGCTCTGCCATTTATAGTTGTGAAATCTCAGCAATCACTCAACTCTCTGAATCTGTTTCATAATCATAATAAAGTAGCTAATAGCCATTAAGATTTCTTTACTGATAGCTTACGGCAGCAGTGTAATGTAAAGGTTAAAAACAGAAACTATGGTACCAAGCTGCCCGAGTTTGGATCCTGACCCTACCCCTTGTTGGGTATGTTACCTCAGGCAAGTTATTTAATCTCTTTGTGCCTCAGTTTTCCCATCTGTAAATGGGCATGCTCCTCATCCTATCTCATGATGATGATTGAATACATGTGAAATGTTCAGAACAGTGCCTGGCACATGGTGTTCACTAAGCATTACCTCATTTTGCTATGTGGCAGGCGCCACGCTAAGCAGCTTACACAGATTATTTAATCCTGTTAATGACTTCATAATACAAGTGTTGTTATGAGGTCAATTTTACAGATGACAATACTGCAATTTAAAGGATTGCTCATGATCATTGAGCTAGAAAATGAGGGAGCTGAGACTCAATTTTGAGTCTATCTTTGCTCCTAACTTCTACACCATCCTGCAGGACCATAAACTGGGGTGTCATCAACCTGCCTCACAGGTTGGGAGCAGTTGGGAAGATTTACAGAGAAAAGTATATTCCATCGTGCCTAGTATTCAAGCTGTTCTACACATTAGTGCCCTCTTAGCTATTGGTGGTTGATGAATAATAGATCATTCTGTATAGTTCTAAATACAGCAGAAATTGGCCACTTAAGACACAAGCCACCAAAACGAAAGTAGCAATTTGAGGGTTTTAAGGGATGCATCTGCAAATATTTGCTATGCTGACCTGCCCCAATAATCACAACCGGATTGGGAACAAGTCCATCCAACTCAACCATAATTCATTACAACAGAGGAGCTGCCTCCCTTCCTTTTTCAGAGGGCTTTGCATCTACACTTACTCAGACAGTGGCACCAGTGTGAGCTCCTACAGGACAGAGGCCACACATTCTGCACTTTGTTCCCCAGCCCCAGTGTCTGGAAGGAGCCTCTCAGCAAATGTGTGCAGAACCCTAGTGAGGCTCTGGTGTAACAGGGAGGCCAGGCCAGGGATCCAAAGATTTGAGTTCAGGTCCCCAGAGAGCCTCCGATTAGCTATGTGACTTCAGGGGAGTCACTTGCTCTTATGAGGTCTCATTGTCCCTAGCTGTGCAATGAAGGGTTTCAACCTTATATGCCTGAGAGTCCCATCCAGCTCTATATTCTCTACAAGTAGCAGAGCACTAGGATACCCTTCCTACCCCCCCTTTTCCTTCCCTTTTTCTTCCTTCTTTCAGTCAACCAACACATTATGTCCTACCATGTGCCAGACTCTATGCCAGAAGCTGGAAACTCAGGGCAAGCAAAACTTAAGGGAACTTAAGTGTTTGCTGATTTACTGAATGCTGTGTGTAAGAATATTCAATTCTAACTTGGAAATTTTTGCTTCAACATACATGCTAACTATGCAGTTATTACTCTCAATAATATGTGTTGGAGGGGTCAGGGAAGATCCAGTTGTACTAAACAGTTAAAGAAAAATCCTTCAATTCTGATATAAACAGCTACAATTATTATGTAGATAATTCAGGCCTAAACAGATTTGGCTGAAATTGCCCAGGTCAGTGCACCAGTCTCCCAGGTAAGACTGGCTGGTAGAAACTCTGCCACAAACTCCTCCCATTCCAACTTAAATATGTGCTTTAAAAAATTAAGCATATTGGTGCACCCACAATCAAGTTGGGAAAATGACTTCCTCTTTAGAACTAGCTTAAGAGCACAGCAATGGCTAGTGTGTACAGAAGGAGACACATGTGAGGCTGTCAAGTAGAAATAGGTGATAATTTCATTCAATTTGTAGTCTCTGTATATGCCCTTCATAAAAGTAGACCAATCAGAAACTTCAATGTCTATAAAATTCAACACTGATGTGCAAGGGTAGAGTGATCAATCACTGTAGGCTTCCTTTCTTTAGCTTAAAGGACAAATGAGTTTCAGAGAATCCAGATTTCTTTTTTAAATTTTTCCTGAAGAGTTGATTGGGGAAGCGATAATCAGACATGAACTGACTTTGGGATTTGGCGAAATGATGAAATAACAACAAAGAATGTAATAACAGGGGCCACAAGTAAAACAGGGAGGGACGAGTGGACTGGTGATTGAGGAATATCAGGGTGCAGTTGGAAAGTGACACTAGTGAGGAAGTTTTCAAAATTCTCCTCATACATTAGCCAGAGATCTGAGGACATGGTAATTAAGAGGTCTATTTTTAGAACTTCCTCATTTCTCAAATGCTTCATTTCAAGTCTTCAATGAACATGAGCATCACATTATGTTGTTAAGACATAATAAGAGATCCCAATCCCAATCTTTGATAGTTGTGAAGTATCATGCTTACTAAGTTCCCACTGTGGGTACAATTTAATTCTGGGTTTTTCCAACATGAAGAATATTCTCACCTTTAAAATTCAGAATGCATCTAAAAATATAGAAAAATGTTTTTCTCAAATGATGACATCAATAGCAACTACTTACAAAATATCTCTCCCTCGAACAGTTCTTTAGATAAAGTACAAAAAGAAGGTCCTCAATCAGGTGGAAGAACTCACAAGGTCTTGTTTCCTGACTGTAGGACTAAAATATTCACATTTGTGCATTAGCACTAATTTCAGATTTGTGGAAATGCCACCTATATAGGATTACTATTTCACATTTCAGAGGCCTGTCAATCTGGGTATCTATGCCTAAAAAAAAAAATCTATCAAAAGAGGGAAGGGAAAAATAGCTTGTTCAACATGTTTCCAAAATATTGTATAAAGGAAAAAAAGACAATAATTAGTTCATGGAAGTTTCTATTTCTTTTAGATCAAATTAATGGTCTCTTTTAATCATAGCCTTTAAAAATCTCAACAGTAGGAAGAGAAGCATTTACTCCAGTAGTAACTAAACATTTTACCTATGGAGTTGTTCATTGGAAAGGGGGAGTAGCACGTAATTAGTACGTAACAGTAAATTTTGGAAACCCGAAAATTTAAAGGAAATAGCACCAAAAAAGCAGGTGTCATCAAGAAACTACATCATGCACCAATCTCAAACAGAATAATGAAGCATGTACCATTGGAAACCATCACCATAATCCAATAGGTTCCAAGATGCCCCCTAAATTTACCTATTCACCTACAAATAAATGTTTATGCTCTTATTAGTCTCTCTCTCTACTCAATCAAGAGACTTTTTCTTCATTATATTTTAGGTGTTATTCAGAATTAATTCTTCCTTTTGTCAGTCCATTGGTGGTCTCCTAAATCCATTAAAAAATATTTGGGTGGATGCAGGGAAGCTGAGGAGAGAAATGAGGAAGAAAGAAAAGAGGCATTTGGCTTTTGAGAGGTCTAATCTAAAAACGGGTCAAATTCGGGACTACACTGCAGACAGACACATAAAGAGTTACTGTTCTGTCCTCCACCTATATCTGTCTTCTTGAAAGAAAAACCTTGGACCTGTTTCTAGACCAAAGAGTAAACACTGCAAACTTTCCTTTTACGAGTCTGAGCAGGTGGTGGGCACTGTGAGCAGCCCTAAGCCTTCCTTAAGGAGTACCTTGCTCAAGAGATCCAGGTTCAGACACAGCAACTGAGCTTGAGGCAGCAAATCAGAACTGAAACACCAACTTTATTAACCACAGGGTAACTTGTTTTTCTGAAATTTCAGAACTAGTCACTTTGGGAAGGATGAAATTTGTCTATAAAAAGGAATATTTTAAAATGTTTCTGATCACTTTAGAACAGAATATAAGCACAGCTACATTTTAGTGCTGTTGGTGTACGTTTTTAGCCAAGTCTATTTATTTTCCTCCTTGCTTACAAACAGCCCCCTACCCCAAATAAGGTGATTACACAGAAACAGTTTAGATATCAATCTATGTTATGACTTTGCTATTTCTTTGGTCTTAGAAAGATACTCATGTTTAGACAAATAAAAGGATCAATTGAAAAACTTATTACATTCTATTTATAGGTTTTAGAAGATGAGCAGCAGAACTCACAAAAGTTACCTAAAAGTTAATAGCCATAAAGTTGAAGAACTTTTAAAAAAGAGGGAATACCAAAATAACTTTTAGGAAGAAAATAGCCTTTTAGTCTCTTAAATTGACGAGGAGAACAAAATGGCGGCTGATGATCTAAAAGGATAAAGCTGAATTTACAAACATGCTAAAGAATACATTAAAACAAAAAGAATGAGGAAAAATATACCATGCCTAACAGGTGAAATCCTGTTATTAATGAACATCACTTCTACGGGACCCTACAGTCCACTTCAACAATATTCAATCAACGAAAACCCCATTACTATAGGTGCTTCATACTCCTGTGGAGCTGGCTCTTACTGAATTTACCCTGCATATTGGATATGCAGGAAAAACATCCTGGAGAAACTCAAAAATATCTGCAAACATGAAACTGTTTCTCTAAATGGCACTTATTGGTCTTGAATCCAGTTGAATGGAGGTCAACTACAACTTAAACCGTGTCATCTTGGAGTAGGAGAGCAATTTGAAGCTAAACGACACACTGCTCTAGTTAATACATGTGGCTAACAAGTATATTCTATAAGTTCCTTCTCAGTGCCAACTACCTGCTAAGAATTAAAGAGCAGATAAAACTTTCTGCCCAGCCGGCATGGCTCAGTGGATTGAGAGTCATCCCAGGCACCGAGAGGTCATGTGTTCAATTGCTGGTCAGGGCACATGCCCAAGTTTCAGGCTTGATCCCCAGTAGGGAGCATACAGGAGAGAGCCAATCAATGTCCCTCTCTCATCGAAGTTTCTATCTCTACCTCTCCCTTCCTCTCTCTCTAAAGAAGTCAATAAAAACATATTTTAAAAAGCAGATAAAACTTTCTAACCAATTCTAAGAATTTGTGTAATAAAAGGAAATCATTACAGAGTTTTTATATACTCAGCTTCTTAAAACCGTAGATTTTATTAAAGAAAGTGCATAGCATTTAATAGATCAAGCACATGAATTCTAGAATAAGAAATTAAGTACTTTTTCTCTTGCTTAACAACCAATTATATCCAAGACAAAACTGTGTTCTGTACCATCAAAGACCAATATTTTTACCTGAGTGTCCCACTAACCTTTATCTATAGCTAGTATTTTTTAACTTTTTTTAAAAAAATTTCTTTTCAAATAATTTATCAATTATAACAACTGAGAAGGGCAGTGTGAGAACCTGAATACTTCAACCAAGCAGTGAAGGCAACAAATTTCCTGTACAACTGCTATCCTGCCTGAATTTTTATATACTAAAATAGCCCTTCTCCCTCACTTCCACAAGGGTACCCAGAACAGAGTGACATTTCTTGGTCATCACAAGTCTCAGGTCAATCTTCTCTGTTCTTCAATGTTCTGATAAAGGCCTCTGGCCCTGCAGCTCATGCCTCCGGTAATTCATTCTTGTTCTCAATGAGCGAGATCTCCAACACAGGTAAGAGTAGCTGAAAGGCATCCTGAATATAGGAAGCACTATTTGATGCCTATCAGGATTGAAAAAAAGAGAAAGAGAGAAAGAAAATATCACAGTCACTTAAAAAAGAAAACACACCATAAGATAACAACAACAAAGATTAATTTGTATAAATCTAATAGAATCTGTAGTTTGACAAATAAGGGCAGACTTTACCATTTTGGTAAAGGTACAGGGGAAAGAAGGATCTAGCTCTTGACATATGAAAGCACCAAAAAAGAATGTCAGCATTCTTTGGTGTCCTGCTCAAATTTGGCATTCAGAGCTTATTTATTCCTTGACTGAGTGGGAAGATCCTATCACAGCATTTTGGTCAATTACTCAAAGAGGATTTCAGGAGGCTATGAATCCTACACCGACTCAACATAGTCAGTGCTCACAAATATGAACAAGGATTAATGTTTTCAAAGATGATTACAGTATAGAGTCACCAGTCTTTTTTTATATCTGACAAGTTCTGACCTTACCAAAGAGTAACAGAGAGTTCATTAGATTAAGATAAAATGTATAATTTCAAGGACAAGTGTTCAAATCTGTGAGTAAGAACAACAAACTCAAAACAGCAATAGGGAGCCCCTATCAAGTGAGTTTGCCTGTTTTGGATTTACCAAGAACAAGTACTCCTATTTAAACTTCAGTGTGACATTTGACACTCAATTTTCCAGCCAAAAGAGACCTCAAGAGACTATCTAGTTATATCTCTCATTTTGTAAATAAAGATAGTGAGATTGCCAAAAAGGTAAATGCCTGGTATATATGGTCATCAGCAAATCAGGGAAGATCCAGGACATCCCTGGGCTCCTAGTTTGCACACTTGTTTCACCTAAACCACTTTGCCATCTACTAAATCACAAACTTGCTTTTTTTTAAAAAATTGTTTAAGTGATCAGAATAATTTCCCTGACTATTCAAGAAAAATTGTGCAGTTAAGGAATTAAAGACATTTCATTGGTGGTGACTTTAAAGAATTTAAAACTAAAGAAGTAACAGTCTAGTAGCAAAAAAATATTTTTCAATTCATACTAAAAACTTAACCGATTATCAAATATATTTTCTCCTCCCCAGACTTACATAAATGTTTTAAACAGATCATCAAATGTCTAAATTGTTTGCACAATTAATTTACAAGATAGAGTTCTTAAAACATGGAATCAAGAAAGCGTCACTCATGGAAGCATTGTAACCCATCAAGGGATCTTCATGTACCCCCCTTTTCCATGGATTTAAACAACCCACCTCCTTAAATCTAATGGACTGAGGATTATGTAAATATGGGTACCTCTTTGACAAAACAAAGCAAATTTCTCAGCAAGGAAATGACAAAATGGTTTATTTTTAACAAATCTCTGCATAAGCCTTGGTCCTTTAAGAAGCAGTGCTTGCCTGTTTTTAATTTCCAACCCTTCATGTTTACCCACTGGTCTCCAGAAGTTGTTTCATTACTGAGAATTGTCCGTTAACTGCCAAGGGGTAGTACTAAGTAATGACAGCTTACTACTCCTTCCTGTGCACTTTACCCAGCAGCTTAATCTTTTATGTGTTATAATTAATACAGGGAATATGCATCAGATACACACCATTTTGGTCGCATATGCATCAACATGGCTAAACTACCAAGCTTGTGAAAAAAACAAGAAAGCCAAAAAACTTAAGAAGGATTAACTAATACAAAATGCCTAAAAGTTAAGAGACTTAAAAACAATTACTACTAACCTCTAGAAATACTGCAGTAATTAATGGATTAAGGACATCTGCCTTTTCTTTGACCTAGAATAAAGTATACAGCATTATATGTACACAGCAGGTTAAAAAACAATAAACATGGCATGATCTCACTTTGAAACACACACGCCCACACTTGAGCATATGTGCACACACACACCCCCCCACACAAATGTAAGCACAGAAAAAGTTTGGACTGAGAGACAGCAAAATATCATCTCTGGAAGTGCTTTAAATTTCCTTCTTTATATCTTTCTGTGCTATCCAAATGGATCATTTACACCTTTGTAATTTTGATTGATTTTTAAAAGTATTTGCATTTTGGAAGAGGAGGTGGACATGGTACAACTGACCAGAAAACTTCAGAAAATTTTTAAAACAAAATATGCAGATATGAAACATATGCTCAAAATACTTAATGGTTTTTAGAGTGGCTATTTGAAAAACATGGAAATAAATAATGCAAATTTACTACTCAATGTGTTAGCACCCTACAGTTGACTTATTGGGTTAAAGTATCTTTATAAAACATATGTAAAGATTTGACGTTGAAAGATTAACTTCAGAAAACCCAAGAGCTCTTTTAAAGAAAATATAAGAGGAAAAGAGAAGCTACATGATTATATTATATCTAATATAGCTATTATGCCTTACAGGTACAATCTAAATTCAAAAGAAAAATTAATTTGGGTCATGCTCTTAACTAAAATTTAAGGGCACAGAATAACTATGCTGCCACATTGACACTTATATACTTACTACAAAGTAATTTTTACTTTAATTGAGGTATAATTGACATATAACACTACAGTAGTTTCAGGTGTAAAACATAACTGATATCTGCATATACTGCACAATGATCACCACAATAAGTCTAGTTAACATCCATCACCATACATAGGTAAAAAAAAATTTTCTTGTGATGAGAACTTTTAAGATCTATTCTCTTAGCAACTTTCAAATATGCAATACAGTATTATTAACTACAATCACCATGCTACTATACATTACACTCCCATGACTTACAACTGGAACTTTATACCTTTTGACTGTCTTCATACACTTTGCCTCCCCCACCTCCTACCTCTGGCAAGCACCAACCTGTTCTTTGTATTATGAGCTCAATTTGCTACAAAGTAATTTTTGTTTGCTCATTTAAAAATGCCCTTTATTTGCTTTTGCCACCATCTTGGAGTCTGTGGAGGACTGCTGGGAACAGGACTTCTATGACGACAAATATATCTGGAAGGCTGTGGTCCAAGGCCATTTTTGCCAGCTATAAGCAGGATCTCCGGAACCAAAGGGAAGACATAGCTCTTCTTAAAATTAAAGGTGTTTATGCTGGAGATGAAACTGAAGTCTATCTAGGCAAGAGATGTGTTTATGTGTACAAAACAAAGAATAATACAGTCACTCCTGGTGGCAAACTGAACAAAATCAGAGCAATATGGGGAAAGGTAATTCATGCTCATGGAAACAGAGGCATGGTTCCTACCAAATTCTGAAGCAACTTTCCCGCTAAGGCCAATGGACACAGAATCCGTGTAATTCAAAAGACTCCTCAAGGATTTAAACTAATTGAAAAATAAAATAAAAAATAGAGAAGAAATGCCCTTCATTTTATCCTAATTCATGATTCCTGATTTCTGAATCATCTTCCACAGTTCACAAACACTCAGTAAATTTTTTTACAATTCCTTGAAAACACACACACAACGTTAGCTTTAACTACAACTCTCCTACTGGCTAGCAAGTGCAAAATATGAATGAGAGTTGCCAAGTCTAAGGTGCCAGTCCTTAAAACCAGAATCAAACTTTAGGGTTCTTGCTTTATCAAGGTCTCCATTTCTAATACAGGTCTCAGAGGACAGCATAAAATATTCTGCCAACTTCATAAAAAGAGAAAACAAAAATGAGTTGCAAAAATCAGTTAGCATGAACAAGCTGATCCTAAAAAACATATGGAAATGCATAGGGCCCAAACAAAAAAATACTGAGAAAGCAGCAGCAAGTTGGAAGACTCACATTTCTTGATTTTAAAATATACTACAAAGCTACACTAATTAAGACAACATGCTACTAGGATAAGGATACAGACACATAGTATTTATCCACGAAAGAAAGTATTACTTGCTAATAAAAAATACTGATACAATGTGGATATACCTCAAAAACATTACGCTAAGTGAAGGAAACCAGACACAAAATACTACATATTGTATAATCCTATTTATATTAAATATCCAGAATAGGCAAATCTATAGACAGAAAGTAGATTTAGTGTTGCTTAGGGATAGAAGAATATGGAGGAAAAGGGAATGACTGTTAATGGTATGAGGTTTTCAGGGAAATAATGAAAACAGTCTAAATTAGATTATGGTGAAGATTGCACAACTCTACACATATACTATAAAAGCACTGAATTATACACTTGAAATGGGAAAATGTTATGGTATGTAAACTACATCTTAACAAAGCTGTTTTAAAAACAAAACAAAACAAAACAGACATTAGCCCGACAAGAGGCATGAATTCTTACCCCAGCAGCTGTTAGGCAGGTGGTAAACTCTTTAGACAAAAAGGACAACTCTTTACACAACACAACCGTCATCCTAGAAAAGATGGGAAAAAAGTAAGGAGGGTTCCTTTTTTTGTTTTTCTTCCACTCTTTTTTTAATAAGCTATATTTAACAACTGTAAGAAGAGAACAAATCACTCCTGGTACTAAATGTGAAAGAAGAAAGATTTTAAAGGGAGTAAATATGCCTAAGTCAGCTATCTTATGTATTGGGGAGCCATATGAATAGGCATTCGGGCTACAGGAAGACTCACTCCTTGGAATAACATTTTTCTACAAAATCCTCTAGAAAGTAATATACTTTCCAGTTAAATCAATGGAAATAACTAAAAATACATTTTAAGGAGACAAGATAATACTTTAAAAATCCTACATTCAACTTAGAAATAAAGTTAAAATTGAAATACATTCATTCATTTATTCAACAAATATTTTTTGAAAGTTTTCTTTGTGCCAGGTGTCAAGCACTGGGGATATATTAGTAAACAAGCAAAGTCCCAGTTTTCATGGATTCTAACTTACTTGCTAATCAGGGGGGAAACTATACATGTATATATAGATGGATAAATGTGCATATATATTTACATACATACACATTACACATGTAGGTATATATGTATACGTATACTCATGTACACAGATATATAAACATACACTCATCCATACAGCCATACTCACATATACATACACATACACTAGGTGGTGATATGAACTAAGAAAATAAAGCAAGTGAAGGATTATAAAATAGGAGAAGACACTATTTTAGATTGGGTGGTGAAAGAAAGCAGCATTTGGGTAGAAACCTGAATTCTGTAAGGGAGCCAGTCATGACTGAAAGAGCATTCCAAACAGTAGAAATAGTCATTTTTCCACAGAACAAGCTAGTTTGGGGTTCAGAGTGCCCCATCCTAAGGATGCTCAAGACAAAGCCAGGCCCCCTCTATGGGATATTACAGAGGAGTATCAATCAAAACTGTAGGTGAAGAAGAGGTCTGGAGACATCAAGAGCCCCTCCAAACCCTGGCACACTGGACACTCCCTCACACCTTTCTTCCCTATGAAAATTCTCATTATTTAATTAAGAGATTTACATATTTAAAAAGTCATAGGTCTTTTTTCCCCTCCTGTGACTACCTACATTCTATTATTTTTGAAATTTTTGTTCAAAATCAGCAACATAGTAAGAAAAAAAATTTTAACTCCCTGTTAAACTTGGGATTAACTCCCAGTGTGCATACCTGGGCAGATTACTTCTCTTGAGTCTGCATTTCTTCACTTTTAAAACTGGACTGATCATTTAGGGTTGTTGTGAAAATTAGAAATGATACATGTAAATCCCTTAGCATGGTGCCTGGTATATAATTAGCATTCAATAACTTAATTATACAGAATTGAGACTCTCAGAACTACTTTCTGTTTTTACTTATGTAAAATTCTATTCCTATCAGGACGAATAATCTGAGAACCAGTTTTTAGAGTATAAAGTGGTTAATAAAAGGGCAAAATTATAATGTAGACTATGGCTCAGTGAAAACGAAACACCACAATTGTCTACATACTAACTAAAACCCCAAATGGACAAACCTGTAATATGTGAATGGTACAATGTGAATAGTATCTTGTTGAAAGGAAAGTTTCTAAAACTTTGGAAATGAGCCAAGAAAATTCTTTCAGCAATTTGCATCATTTAGAGGGATACTTATTACACTTACTGAGAAAGGGTTCTGCTTCTTTCTATAGCTGTCACTTCCTGCTTCTGGCCATGCAGAACCAGAGCTGCTGTTTTGTGAAACAGTTCAATTGAGCAGGCAGTCAGTTCGGCTAGGCTCCGGATTGCAAATGCATGGATATCCTGGATGGAACAATAGAGAACATAGGTGTTTTTTAATCTCACGAGGAAATGACAGCGCCTTACTTCTCTCATACTGAAGGACTCAATATCTTGAAAGCAACAGAAACTAATAGCTACCCTTTAGTAAACCTCTTCTTCCTTGGTAGGTATATAACTTTACAGCTGGACGCATAGCTGCAAAACAGAGGCTGCCCTGAAGTCAGGTGTGACCATGTGACTAAGTTTTCACCAAAAGATTTAGATAAAGCTTCTTGTAGCAGCTCTGGAAACCCTCATGACACCACATATGTGCCCTTTGTCTCTCTCTTCACTCTTTCTTTCCATCCTACAGTCTGGAAGTAAGATGTCACAATCTTGAAACACAGGTAGAAATTATGAATGAGAGTGCAACAAAATACAAAGCCCCTTAGTCCAGCAGGGCATGGCTCAGCGGTTGAGCGTTGACCTAGGATCCAGGGGATTGCGGTGCAGTTCCCGGTTGGGGCGCATGCCTGGGTTGCGGGCTCAGTCCCCAGTCGGGGGCGTGCGGGAGGCAGCCAATCAATGTTGATTCTCTCATCATTGATGTTTCTCTCTCTCTCTCCTTTCCTCTCTGAAATCAATAAAAAGATATATTAAAAAAAAAAAAAATACACAGCCCTTAGATCCCTGATTGCAATACCCCCACATCTCAAATCCTTTTTTTAAAAAAAAAGTATTTCTTTGCTTTGGTTACCTCTATTGAATTTTTATTGATTTGCTCAGTTTTTTCTCCTTCCAACCGTTTTTCTCCTTCTTCCTTCTCCTCTAATGGCTTCTCCAGAGATGTCCTGATCCATTCATAGGCTGTATTTCTTGCCTATTAAATAAGAAAAAGATTATTGTCTATCAACAATTCAGCTCCCCAAGATTACTGTGTACTGACCAAGAACATGTTAGTATCATGGAAGTCAGTCCTTTTGTTCTCATCCAAACATAACACCTGGTTTTTCAGTGCTTAACTCACTCAAACGCTCTACAACACTTAACAGTGCTGTCCACTCACGCCTTCTTGAATTCTCTAATCCTTTGACTTTTTTAAACTGAGGTGTAATTTACGTACAGTCAAGTGCACAAATCAGAGCACGGCTAAAGAAATGTTTACATGTACATGTGCCTATGTATCTGTGACCCAGATCAAGATAAAGAACGTTCCCATGACCATAGCAGGTCCCCATACCCCTTCCTAGTCAGTACTGCTCAAGCAGAGACCCCCTACCCCTACCCAAAGGTAACCGCTCTTCTGGCTCACTATAAATAAATTTTACCTGCTCTTAAAATGCATGTAAATGGAACCATAAGTTCTCATTTGTGTCTGGTTTCTTATGCACAACATACTGCCTGTTAGATTTATCCACATAGTTGCTGCATGTACCAACAGGTCATTCTTATTTATTACTGTGCAGTATTTCATTTTATACATATACCATAGTTCACTCATTCTGATGGTGGCCCTTTGGGATGTTTCTAGTTTTCTTAAACTTTTGTAACACCACTATCTTCTGGTTCTCCCTCCACCCTCACGAGCATTCCTCCTCAGTCTCTTGTATGTACTGATTTCCTCCGGTAGTCCCTTAAACATCAGTATTACCTGGAGTTCTGGCCTTGGCTCTCGTCTCACCCCTCTCCCTCTCCTCTTCGCTCATCCTATTGCAGTGATTTTAACTATTCCCTACCTGCTGCTAACTCCTAAATCCTTATTTCTAGCACTGACCTCTCCTGAAAACATATTCCAACTTCCTGCTGGACATATGAATCAGGATATTCTATAGTCACCTCATATACAACATGTACAAAATTTGAATGACCTTTCCCTCCCAAAATTTTTAATCCCCAGGGCTTTAGAGGAACAGCCATATATCAGTCACCCAAGCTAAAATATGTGAGCCATCCTAGATTCTTCCCTTCCCAATCAATCACCAAGATGGTCTGATTTTACCCTACATATTTCTCCAACCAGCCCCTCCTCTTTTTCTCTATTACCACCACTTGATTTCAGATCCACGGTGTAGCAATAGCACTCTGATTGGTCTCGCTGCATCAGTCTCAGGACATCTGATAAAATTACTGGGAAAGGGAGTTCTTTCTGTTGGAGTTACTCAACTGGATTGAGTTACTCTGAGGCTTCTAGTAGTTATCTTACCACCCTGTGGAAAAGCACCCCTAAGAATGGAGCTAAACAGAAGAAAGCAGAGTCAAGAGATGGAGAAGGGGCAGGTTTCTAGGTGGAGATCCATGCCAGAAGCCAGTCTTGCCCCTTGATTTTACAGTTTCTTGAGCTAATGAATGCCCCTTTTTGCTTAAGCCCGTCTGACTTTAGTTGCTGTCATCTGCAACTTAGAAAGTTCTGGTTTCTAAGGAAATGTTTATTGGCATTAAAAGAAAGCATTCACTTGAGTAACATATGGACAGAATGTGTTCAGAGCTGTAACTAGGCAATAGGAATCCAGAGAAAACTTTGAGAATATTCCAACTGAGAACTAAAAGAATCACAGGTTTTATTTCAGATATAGCATTGGGATTGAGGCTTTAAGGATCAATAGGTGGGGCTTTCAGCTCTCCCTGGCCAGGAAGCAATGTTTCTGGAGATTTGGAAAGGAGGGTGAAGCAGCAGCAAGCATGCCCTGGCTGGTGTTGCTCAGTGGTGAGAGTGTCGGCCTATGCACAGAAGGGTTGCGGGTTCGATTCCCGGTCAAGGGCACATACCTGGGTTGCGGGTTTACTCCCTGTCCCCGTGGGGGCTCGTGCGAGAGGCAACCAGTAGGCAACCAGTCAATGTGTCTCTCCCATATCCGACGTTTCTCTCTCTCCCCCTCTCTCCCTCCCTTCCATTCTCTCTGAAAAAGTTATGGGAAAATATCATCACCTAGGCCACAGACTCTCACATTTACACAAGCTAAATGGTCATTATCTTAGTCACTGGGCTCTAGGAAATGGCAACCTCCAGCTTCCCAAAGGCAGGGGCCACATCCCATTATCTCTGAAAACATTCAGAACCCTGTGAACAGTTAAAACTCAATAGAGGCTAGCCCTGTTGGTGCCATGAAGGCTGGTGAGCACTGACCAACTCTGTGACCTAAATTAAGCTTTCAGACAATCAAAGAATTCCAAATGAAAACAGGTAAGGATGGCAGATGAGTGTGTTCCACGGGAAGGGAAAGGGATGCAGATGTGAGTTTAGCATGCTAATCTGTTAAAGCAAGAGGCAGGCAAAAGGTGTGGAACTCAGAATGTACCCTCAATTTTGGTGATATCCTTGCCAGGAATTAACAATCTTACTTTCTTTATCCACTAAACCCATACAATTTAAAAAAAAATCATCAGGAAGTAGTCACTTACCCTGGCAAGTTTCTCTGGTTTGGAGGAGACATGCAGCTGGGAAAATAGCTCTGATACCTCTTTGGTAAAATCTTCATCCCCTAAAAAAACACAAGTCCCATGTAAAACAATTCAGAAAGGCTCGCATCATTCATTTTCAAGAAAATGTTTACCGAATATTCTGCTCTGAATAGTCTGTGACTGTAATCTTTTTTAATTAAAGAAGGTGTTTCATGAATAAAACAGGTAATTCAGCTTAAAACTCCAATAATACAAGTGTTTTTCCTTGAGACAACTTCAGTATGCATCACCCAGAATATAAAAAGTATATTCTAGGGTCAAGATTTAATAAAATTAATAATTGTTACTGCTTCATCAGGACAAACTTAAATGAGATGACACCTTATTTTTTTTTTTTACTGTGAATGAAGTGAAAACACATATTAGTACAGTTTGGTGCCATCAACTTGATTTCTGCTAACGCACCAGTAATTTTACCCACTACTACTTTTGCACCATCAGTGCAAATGTGAAACTGATTATTTTTTTAAAAAGCAAATGACATCTTGATGCTATTATGCAGAGTTTTGACTCATGAGCTCCCTGAAAAGATCTTGGGGACCCAAGGATTTGCAGACCACACTCTCCAACCACTGATTTAATCTACTACATGGGTAACTGGCCCTGTATGTCGTGATGGACCCTGAGGGAATTTTCACTTTTAACATTTATAACTAATTATTTAATTTTAAAAAAAAAGGCAAAACTGTATTCACTATGTTCTACTGAAAAGAGATCCAATTAGTACGTAAACATATATTAAAAATATTTCCAGCTAAAATGTTAAAATAACTCAAAGCTTAAGATTCAGTTGCTTGGAAATTTCCTGATAATTTTGCAAAAGTGAGTAGTTACTACACTTACATTTTCTGAGGGATGTAGATATTAAAAAAGATGGCATAAAAATTTTTTGAAAATACAAAAGACAAACTATCACCCACATTTTGGATAACTGCCACCCTACATGCCTTAATTCAAGAAAAGGACAGGGGTCACAGGGGCCAGAGAGGCATGGGAGCAGTATCCAGGCATACAAAACCTCGTAGAGATGACCAGCCCAATGAGGCAGGAATCTGACAGGGGGAGCTCTCTAACTGAAAAAGCAGGCAGAGATGTGCGTTGCAAGAGCAGATTAGAAGCCTCCAAGAGTTTGGGGGGAGGGGAGAGGAGGTTGGGGGTAGGAGGAGGAAACAGGCACATAAGGCTCACTGCTCATAACAGTGCCTAGTCAGGGGCCAGGCTGCAGAGAATTTGCATAAAAATTCTCAATGAAAAAAGTAAAATCTGGCCAGTGTAATTGGAGAGAAAATATTTTAAGGGCAATCCACCACACACAGACACACTGCATCCTTCCCACCCAGAAGCTGTGCTTTCATTTCACCTTTTTTATCTTCTTCCTCTTCCTCAGAGAACTCTGGAAGGGAAAATGCTTCTTTCAGTTGCTCCAGTTCAAGTTTTAGAGTCTCTAATTCTTCTCCACTTAGAGAATTAAGAACAGATTTCACCTGAATCAACATAAAGTTGTGGGAAGATAAAAGAAAAACATTCTCAAATGGGGAAGAGGCTACAGGTCAGATTAAAATTAAAATTAGGAGCTCACTGGCCAACCTAATCTAGTCCTTAAGAACCTTAACACAACAGGCTGGTCATTACAGAAAAGTGGAATTTGTACTTCCAAAAATAATATAAGACATAAATGTCTGGAAATAAAAGTCTTGAATTAATCAATAGCTAACAGGTAACTATATCCAAATTGGCAGTTTAAGCTTAAGAAACTTTAAAAAAAAAAAAAAAGATCAAGGTGAGGAAAAACAACAAATGTGCTATTAAAACTTCTTTGTTAATCTCTCCTTTTTTGTTTAAATTTAGAGAAATAACACTTGACTCATTCTGTTTTCAGCAGTTAGTTCAAACACTAGTTTTTAGTTTGTTCTGGCCTGGTATTCTCAGAGCCTCAAGCCTCCAGTTGAAATGGTTGGTTTAGAATTACCTTTACTTCGCTTTCTTGGGAAAGCATCTCCAGAGCTTCTAGATGTGAAAGGCCTTGAAATTCATCAAAGAGTAGCCCGTAATGAGTTTTCTTATCCGTTTCCATAGTAACCTCATTTGTGGTCCACTGTTCTTCTTTCTCCTTCGCCTCTCGTAAAACCTGAAAAAGAGATAGAGGCATTACACTGCAGCGAGTAATGAGGGCTCAGGGGTGAGATGGGTAACAGTATAGCACTGCCCTTTTATTCTTGGCATTGTCATTCAAAGCTGGTAGGCCCAGGAGCTGCAGGGGGAAAATGATCACACATAATTTGATTCTAGACAGGGTAAATAACACCCAATGAACCAGGTGTTTCTCTGAAAGTGGTTTAAACATTAATCTAATAAACAACTCTGAAAGGACTTGGCATCTTATACTGCACTGACAGGAGGCCTCTGCAGAAAGGAAAGAGGAGGGAAAAAAGAACTGGGCAGTTTTCTAAGCATTAGAGCTCTTCCTCCCCCCCACCCCCACCAAAAAAGAAAAAGTCTCAATTTAAAAATCATTTAAAAAGTCTTCAAAAGTAAGTGCTAACAATGTCCCAAGTTACCACAGGCAAAAATACAGATCAAAACAGAAACAGGAAACAACCAGGTAAAGGCAGTACCTGAGACAGTGTAGAATTCCGGTGCATCAGACCCTTGGTTCTTTTAAATCCAGGATCCCCTTCTGCTATTACATCCATTGTCTTTTTCCCAATGAATTCTAAGGCATCCAAACCCCCACTGATAACAGTCTTTCCCTAGGAAACACATGCAACCTTATTACAATAATATTGAAAAAAGACACCTGCATGTTTTGACTACATAAAATAGTACTTAAAATACCAAGAACTGGCAAGAATTTAGAGCAACTGAAACAATCATATACTGCTTGTGAGAATATAAATTGGTATAACCACTTTGGAAAACTGTCATTATCTACTACATCTGAACCTATGAATATCTAATGACCCAGCAATTCCACACATGGTTACATATTCAACAGAAATGTTTACAGAGGTTCATCAAAAGATGTACAAGAATGCTCACGGCAGAAACTGTGATGTAAAAGCTAAAACTATAAACTACCCCAATACTCACCAACTGTGGAATAAATAAATGTGACATAGTCGCACAATGAAACACAGCAAAGAAAATAGACTACACCACACAATCTTCACCATGGATAAACCATACAAACATAATGTTGAGTGAAAGAAACTTGACACAACAGAGTACAATCTGTATGATTCCATTTATATAAAGTTTAAAAGCAGGCAAAATTAATCTACAATGGTAGAAGTCAGGGTTGTAGTTATCTTGGTAGGCAAGAGTGGGAAGCACAGATGACTTGGAGATGGCACAGGGTAGATATTTCATGTACCATCATGTTCTTTCTTAGTCTGAATGTGTTCACACTGTGAAAATTCAAACTGAACACTTGAGACTTCATTTTTGTATATATGTGTTATATTTCAAAAAAAGTCAAAATTAAAAAGAACTAGCTATCTATCATCATATAGGGAAGGTATTAAGCTTCTTTTTTTTTTTTTTTTTTAATTATGTCTTTATTGATTTCAGAGAGAGGAAAGGAAAGAGAGGGAGAGAGATAGAGACATCAATGATGAGAGAGTCATTGATCAAGCCCACAACCCGGGCACGTGGCCTTACCGGGAATAGAACCCCAATCTCCTGGATCCTAGGTCGACGCTCAACCGCTGAGCCACACCTGGCCGGGCGATATTAAGCTTCTTATATTACCCTTTTAAAAATGTTTCTAGCCCTGGCCAATGTGACTGTTGGTTGGGCCTCATCCCATGCAACAAAAGGTTGCCGGTTCCATTCCCAGTCTGGGCACATGCCCAGGTTTCGGGCTTCATCCCCGGGAGGGTGTGTACAGAAGACAGCCAATAGATGAATCGCTCTCATGGTGATGTGTGTCTCTCTCTCCCCCACTTCCTCTCTCTCTAAGAATCAATTTAAAAATCTTAAAAAAAAGTTTCTAATCATATATAGTTTTACAAATATCCATCATAAATACATTTCTTCTTTGCCTAAAAGATGCAATTATGAGAAAAATATTTTTGTAAAGCAGTGTTTTCTAGGGCCACAAAACTAAGAACTCTAGTCCATAAAATATTACGTACACTGCCTCTGTATTACATTTCACCTCCTGTTCCCTCCTTTACTCCTTTAAAGAAAATTTTCAAGTAGCTCTCACTCTACCCCTAAAATCAAAGTAATTGATCGTCAGAGATTTGGAATGTCATTAAGAGTAATTCGTTCCCATGGCTTTTCAATGAATAAGGGAGAAAGAGACAAAAACCCACTATAATCATGGAAGGCAGCAGGCTACCTTGTGCTTTATACTCACTGTGCTCTGAACAGCAGTAGAGATGGTTGAGAAAACACCAAACGCTCCAGTCACCGGGGAGGAGTTTTCATTCTCTTTGGCATTTGCCTCTCCTACACGAGGGAGAGATGTGTAAACATGACGACATGGTCCATAAATGATTTTGCTTTGTTAGTATCTATGTGAATTTTTTAAAAATTAAATCCTACTTCCCATATACAAGGTATTAGTCCTTTTTGTTTTATTAAACTATTTGCCTATTTTAAAACGAAAGGTAAGAGAGCTTTTTCTCATTTTCATTTAATTTCAGAAATAAAATCCAGTCTTTTGAGCCAACTACTGATATATATAACAAGACTACTGTATAATTCCATTTACAGGATCTTCTGGACAAATAAACTATAGAGTCAGAAAGAGATCAGTGGCTGTCAAGAGCTGAGAATAGGTGCATGCATTAGGGGACTTTGGGGGATGATGAAAATATTCTGCATCTTGATTGCCTTTATAGATATAGAAAATATTTCCTCTCTCTCTGCATAATCACAATGGACTGTGTATACAGTGTAAACAGGACTGTATGCTTGTCAAAACATGTAAAACTATATACTTAAAAGAAGTAAACTTTCTGTATATAAATTATAGCTCAATAAACCTGGCTTTTCAAATTCCAGTCTAGTTTAAATTTTATCCTAAAAATTATGCTTATCTGTAACATGCATTACAAAAATGAACATGTTTCATTGAAAAAAATCTATTAATTTCAAAATCTCTTATAGGAGACAAACAAATAATTAGCTACTATAGGAAGGACTTCCTCTTCCAGCTTTGATGAGTTAACTGGTATTGCACTTGCCCTCCTACCATAGCATCTAGAAAACTGGACAAAATATAAGAAATAACTGCCTGCAGATACTGGACGACAGACAGTACAGGGCTATAAACCAACAGAGAAGAGAAACAAAGGGAACCCTATGACTGGCTTGGCTTTCCAGACCACAGCACTGGGAGGGGAAACCCAAGCAAAGCATGGCAGTCTTGCTGAGTGGAAGAGGGAAAGACTGGAATCTAGGAAGGCTGAAACACCTGGAACTTGCAAGTCGAAGTCCTGGAGAGGAGGAAGCTACAAAGGTAAGGAGTCCCAGGAATCTACGCAGGAGTGCTCTTGAGTCTTTGGCTAAATACTAAGCTGTTCATGCACTGGGAGACTCCATGACACTGGGCAAAAACTACCATGGAGCTGTAAACTAAACAATGTCCAAAGCCCATGCTAGGCTATACAACATCTGACTTCTGACCAGAGTTTAACTAGAGAAATCTAGTTAAACATCTGGGAATTAGGTAGAGACCTCAGATAGGTCAGAGGCCTTAGGAGCAGGGCTAAACTAGTACTTAAGAGTAATGGCTGGCCCTGGCCGGTTTGGATCAGGGGCTAGAGCATCGGCCTGTGGACTGAAGGGTCCCGGGTTCGATTCTGGCCAAGGCCATATACGTCGGTTGCAGGCTCAAGGTCGGGGCTCATGCAGGAGGTAGCCAATGGATGTGTCTCTCGCACATCTGTGTTTTTCTCTCTCTCTCCCTTCCACTCTCTCTGAAAAGCAATGGAAAAGACAGCCTCGGGTGAGGATTTAAAAAAAAAAGAGTAATGGCTGCTCTAGATTCACCCTAAAGCGGCTTAAAAATAAGGCTTAAAAGGATGGATCTAAGCTACAAATATCTTAACTGCCTGCCAAACAAAACTCAGACCCTTTGAAAGACAACAAAATCCACTCAACAACGTAACATTTGTAACATCCAGCATCCAATTAAAGAAATGAAAAATATGATCTATAACCAAGAAAATAATTGGTCAATAAAAACAGACTCAAATAACAGAGAGATGAACTGTGCTTAATTTATAAATTAAGCTTTATCATATGTATACTTGCATAAAAAAAAACATAGTAAAGCACAGCAGGTCCTCAAATAAGAAATAACAGATGAGCCCTGGATAGTGTGAGCAACTGAGCAGTGGTTAGAGCATCAGCCAGCATGGGTTCAATTCCCCGTCAAGGGCATATAAGTGGGTTGCAAGTTAGATCCTTGGCCCACTGGGGCACATTCGGGAGACAACCAGTCGATGTGTCCTCTCTCACACTGAAGTTTCTCTCTCTCTCTCTCTTCTCCCCCACTCCCATCATGCCCTGAATATCAGACACTCAATAATTTTCTACTGAAAAATGACATCAACCATTTCATTTTGATCCATAATTCTAGGTCTTAATGTTTCCATATACTAACCTGTTGCATACTGGACCTCAGTTGAAATTTCACTGGGACTAGGGATTCCAAGGGAAGTCTCTGCCTTCTCAATGACATTTGAAATACCTTGTCCTAATGAGGAAAATGATAACATTTTTATATTTAAATATTACTTGCTATTAGTCACTAAAACTGAAGAAACAAACCAAAAATCAAACCCATAGATTTTTAATTTCATTACAGCCACAGGACATGTTATTTTGATCTTACATAATGTTTGAGAATGCATCCTTACCAAAAGAAGAAAAACATTATCACCAATGAATAGTTTTATATTAACAAGTCCTAAACATCAACCTTCTAAGGAAGAAAATGCTGCAAACTCTAGCAGCTGTATAAATGAGCCCATCATTACTAATGCATTCTCAAACTACAAAGCAAACATAAAAGAGAAATTATTAACAAAATCATTTTTAACACAGATCTGTAGCAAAATAGATATAAAAATTAATAAAATAACCGATGGCCTTACCTACTGTGGCCACTGTAGCTGAGGCTGAGGAAAGTAAGGACTTGCCCCAGCTGCCCCAATAGCCCCATCCGGTTTGAGGTGCATCTCTGGAAACAGTCTCCTAATTTTCCCAGTAGCCAGAAAAACAAAAGGCAAAAGAAAATTTTAAAATCAGAGGAAAATAAGGATGTCTAGACAAGGCATCTAATTAGTAGCCAAAAGTATGGGCAAGCAAACACATATTATTTGGCTAAAGAAATGTGTGTTGTTTGACTGGCAGATGTATGTAACCTGCATGTAAGCACAAGACAGCAAAGACAACTACTCAAAAAGGCATTTATAAAACTGAGAAAATTATGTTTTATGGTTATAAAAGGAAAGAAATAGGCACAATTCTAAACTGGCATTGATTCCAAATTATTTTTAACCCTAACATTTCTTTAATCTCAACTTTCAGTAGATACTCTACTTTGTCTGCAGCCTGTGATGCCTGAACAGGAAGAACTTCTGAAGTCTCACAGTCACTGGGAGGTTTGGACTCTGGTCTTTTCCGAGTAGAAACTACAGGTTCTGGTTTACTCTCTGGCTTGATATTTTGGTCAACAGACTCAGAATTCTTGGCTGGCTCAGAGTTCTCATCTTCAAGGATGGGATTTGCTTCAGTTATCACTGGAGTCTCAATATCATCTTTATCCGACATGATTAGATCATCGCCTGGTAATATAAAATCCCAAGAAAAAAATTAATTAGATAGGTTTTTCTGGTAAAAATTATTCGTTTCAACCTTTTAAGATTATCATAAGACTCACATGCAGGTTTAAGAAATAATACAGAGAAATCTGACATACCCTTCACTCAGTTTCCCCCAATGGTAACAATTTGTATAACTATACTATAAGATCACAACCAGGAGGATATTGAAAGAAACAACTGACCGACCTTACTCAGATCCCACAAGTTTTATATGCACTCATTTGTGCATGTGTAATTAGTTCTATAAAAATTTATCACACGTATAGATTTCTGTGACCATCACCACAGTCAGGATACAGAAACATGAAATCACAAGGATCCCTTGGGGTATTCTTTTTTAGCCACATCCCACCCTCCTCCCATCTCATAGCAACTACTGATCTGTTCATCTCCACATTTTTGTCATTTCAAGATGTTCTATAAATGCAATCATAGACTACGTAACCTTTTGAGATCTACTTTTTTCACCCAGCATAAGACCCTCAGGATCCATCTAAGTTGTGTGTGTCAAGGGCTTCTCCTTTTTATTGCCAAGTAGTATTACTTGGCAATAAGATGTATCTCAGTTTGTTTCACCATTTACCTGTTGAAAAGTATCTGAGCTGTTTCCAGTTTGGGGCTATTGCAAATAAAACAGCTATGAACATCCATGTACAACTTTTATGGGAACATAAGCTTTCATTTCTCTGGAATAAATGACTAAGAGTACAATCACTGGTACTTAAAATTTAATTGTATAAGAAACTGTCATGCTCTTTTCCAAAATAGGATTCCCACCAGCAATGTATGAGTGATCAAGTTTCTCTGCACTCTTGCCAGCATTCGGGGGTGTTATTTTTTACTTGAGCCACTCTGATAGGTGTGTAATGACATCTCTGTCTGGCTTTAAATTGCATTTCTCTACATCACTACTGGTATTCAACATCTTTCTTTTCATGTGCTCATTTGCCATCTGTATATCCTCTTCGGTGAAATACCTATTTGTGCCTTTTGCTCATTTTCTAGTTGAATCTTTTTCTTTTACTGTTGAGTTTTGAGAGCTCCATTTATGTTCTAGATTCAAGTCTTTTGTCAGATATGTGGTTTGCAAATATTTTATCTGTTTGTAGTTTATCTTTTCATCTTTATTGGACCTTTCATAAGGCAAAACTTTTTCATTTCAATGAGGTCTAATTTATCAATTTTGCTTTTACTTCCTGTCATTATTCCTACCATAATTTTTCAGAGACATTATGAAATTTAAGCAATCAGATAGGATATATATGAGACCAGCCATTTAACAATGTTAACCAATTCAATTCCTTCCAGAAGTAAAGCTCTTTGGCAATTAAAGCCAAGAATACTATTGGTGTTTTCACAAAGAGCAGATGCTGGTTTGCAGGAAAACCAAGTATTACCAGGGAAGAAATATATGACACAATGAGACCTTAGGTATGTACAAGCACAGATTTTGTACCAATATACACTAAGTGCAGACCCAACCCATGCCATAAAAACATTCCTAATGTACTAGAAAAGAGAGACATATTAAAAATTAAGGAAGCTTGGAAGGAGCACAAAATTGAGGTATACACAAAATACTAAAAGAACAGAGAGAAAGAGCTCTGTTAGAAACAGAGAAAACCACTCATGGACAACATATCAGAAATAAACATACAATACTGGCCACAAAGTGAGATTTCTGAACGCCAAATCCAGCCTACAGATGGTTTTTACTTGGCCTGCACAGTGTTTCAACATTTTTTAATATTAATTGCTAACATTTAAAACTCAAAGTTTGTATACAAATAGATTTCTAACTTCCCTTGTAAAACTGAAAGATCTTGTAACACTGGGCCCACATTTGACCTGGTAATAACTAGCTCACGGCAAATAATTGCTGGGATATTTTCGAGAGGGCAGTGCTCTCTAGTTCTCCACAATCTCCACTTGAATCAACTTTATTGTTTATGTGACCTGATTAACCCCTACAGGCATCTCAACTTGCAACATGTACCTTAAAGGGCACTTAAGATTTTGACAGATGAAGATGCCAATGAGAGAATTCAAGGCTGTGGAAACAAAACATAGGAAAGCTCAAAGACCTGAGGTGTGACAGTATGAAATACGGACAGATACCAGCAGTAGTAAACATGGCAGGGAGAAAAATGGTAGACTAGAAACGTAGATTTACACAACACCATGGATCCTAAGTCATATGGTTATATGATATTCACACATTACACATTACCAAAACACAGGGGGGGAAAAAACAATCTAGATACAACTACCCACATACATACAAACGAAGTCTGAAATAGTCATTTATTCATTCATTCACTTGCAAACATTTGTTGAGTACCTACTAGTTACCAAGCTCTGGAGATTGAGAAATAAAGACACAATTTCTGCGCCCCACTTACTCTAAGGGCCTAAAAGGAAAGACTACACAATTCTTGAATAAAATTCAATTAATGTTCTGTGTAGTTGAATATGTACTTTTTTAACTATATTTTTACTCTCCTTAAGCTCTCTCCAAGTTACAACACATAATAATGTATACTTTGAATATAGCATACTATACATTGTATATATAGTACACATACCACACGTAGTATATATATGTACTAAATAATTTATATAACTTTACAAAAGACTGGAAGGACATACTCTAAAATACTAAACACTAGTTATCGCTATTCTTTCATTTGTATAACAAAGATTTAATGACATTTCAGCTAGATGGGAAGAGAAGTTTTTGTGGTGCTGGCTGTTTATCATTATTACTTTCGTTAATAGATGGCTATACCATCTCTGTTCTCAATGGGTTCATAATCTAGCAGGAAAGGGGGGTGGGTAAATACCAACTACATGTATTTGCACTATTTAATGTTTTTGTAAGTTTTCCAAGTATTCTGTAGTGTTTTATTTTCATAATTGGAGGAGAAAGACTCAAAGGACTGGACCATTACAAGCAAAACTAAATGAGTCACGTTTTTTAAAAGTAAAAATGTATACACTTAATATACATATATATATGTGTGTGTGTGTATATATATATGTATATACTTCCTGCATTTTCTTGGAGAACGTCCAGCCACACAGTTATCTAAGTGGAAGGAGGTTTCGTTTGGTGATTAAAAAGCACGGACTCCGGAGTTTGAGCGACATCCTTCCAGCTCCGCGCTGCAGTGATTGTCAGGAAGTGAGTTCACCCAAGCGCGTCTGTAAAATGCCGCTAGGAGTACCTACCAGACAGGGCTCCTACAAAGACTAAACGACACGGGGTGTGTGAGGGCTGGGACCAGACTGGCCCATGACCGCGCCCGGGGAGCCCTGCTGTTAGTACCTGTGGTGGTGGTGGTGGTTTACATCACTGCTATCATTATTAACAGGCTGTCTCCAGACGGGCAGCCGTGCGCTGTCACTTCCTCCCACAAACGAGAACCAGTTCCGAACGGGGGATCTACTGTAAACCTGCGCTAAGTTGACGACGTCTCGCCCACGAGGAGTTTGCCTCACCCTAACGTAGCGCTTCAATGCCCAAAACCCTCCTACAGCCTCAGCGTCCGGCCGCGAGGTGGCCGCCGCCCAGCCCCAGCCCCCCTCC